TTTCTTGGCACACTTTAGGCCCCTTAGTGCCAATTGGGCATCGTTTAAATGCCATGGCCTACCTGAGCATTGTTTCTGACCATGTCCATCCCTTTATGGCCACCATGTACCCATCCTCTGATGGCTACTTCCAGCAGGATAATGCACCATGTCACAAAGCTCGAATCATTTCAAATTGGTTTCTTGAACATGACAATGAGTTCACTGTACTAAAATGGCCCCCACAGTCACCAGATCTCAACCCAATAGAGCATCTTTGGGATGTGGTGGAACGGGAGCTTCGTGCCCTGGATGTGCATCCCACAAATCTCCATCAACTGCAAGATGCTATCCTATCAATATGGGCCAACATTTCTAAAGAATGCTTTCAGCACCTTGTTGAATCAATGCCATGTAGAATTAAGGCAGTTCTGAAGGCGAAAGGGGGTCAAACACAGTATTAGTATGGTGTTCCTAATAATCCTTTAGGTGAGTGTATATTGTAAAAAATATTGTATTGACACTGTATTTTTGATCAAATAAACTCAGCCTTGGTGAGCAGAAGAGACTTCTTTCAAACACATAAAAAAATCGTACCCACTGCAAACTTGTAAACCGTATCTTAGTTTAAATACAATAACATATCGGCACAAAGATGTTGTCAGGATAATGACGTAATTAATTGGCAACAGTACCTGCTCTGTTGCATCACTCAAATTCTGTTCTGCTATATTGTCTGGAGATAATAAGTACAGGTTTTTTAATTTGTTAGCAGAATTATGATAATTTTTACAAAATAAACCTCAGAGTGGACAAAAATTTTGCTGATAAACAAACACCTCCTAGAACTATAACAACTCATAAAATGCTTGCACCCTTTTGTATTCTTTGAATAAATTATATATACTTTATATCATTTATATATATATATATATACATATATATATTATAAATGAAATAAAGTCAAGTAATGTTCCTCATTTGAAAAAAAAAACTGATATTACTATGTAAATTTACATGTTACTCAAAGTTATTTGTTTATGTAATGCACATTGTATACGTGCATATGTGTATGGCTGTAAAGTGTTTTGGAAATGAGTATGATATCCATGTGACTCCAGTACCTGATGTATGTATGAGTTCAGCGGATTGTAGTAGTCCCGCTCATTGCCCTTGTACTGTAGCTGGTCATATAGAACAGCGTTCAGAGCGCATATGACTTGCCTTTGAAACTCCAAGTCTTCCAGAACGAAGCATTCACCTGGAAAAACAGTGTCTAGTGAAGACAGATATAGGACGCTACAGCTTTAAGAACAACAATGCTGTCGTGGTTTCCCAGTGCAGTCCAAAGTAAATTAAAAAAATGTTAAAAATTAAGCTAAGAGACAAACAAGACATTTATGTCATCGACATCGAGCTGAGAGCTTTTATCGGACGACAGGGAGAACATAAGTCTGGCTACACGGGTCTGACTAATAGACCTCATGAGAACAGTAAATTGAATTTTCCGGATCTCTCTTTGTGGACTGACCTTGACTGGCTCGTAGAATTGGGTGTGTGGCGTTTTTTACTCGCAGATGCTTCTTCACCTTGTCAGTGATTTCTTCTATCTGTGCAGAAATGCTCTCAAGGGTAAAATCAGTCAGAGGGTTGCAATACTGGTCGACCAAAACAGCACCTGGAATTAAACAGACGGACATGTGTTGTTGACTTAAACTATAATTCCATGTTCAACCTCAATCATCCATAATAATGAAGTGAGTAAACTTTGGTGAGATAGGGTCATCCTAAATTACATTGTGAATAATATGCTGTGCATGACTTTGGTAAGCCTGTATACGAGTCTACTATGTGGCTGCACATTTAATTTGATTTGAGCTATGATTATTATATATGATAACCTTTATAGTATGACAGATATTATTCGATTAACCTGGCCTTTATGTGGCCTCGTCCCTGGTATTATAAAGCATAGTAGCATTTTCAGATATTACCTTTCCAGCAGTGTGTAATATACCTGTTTGTGAATGTAAAAGGTCTGCAAAGTTTCATAGATCAAAGTGTACAATAAAAGGAGTTATTCTCTCGCAAAAGAAAGAACCGATTCTGAATTGCCTGAAACGAGTTGTCAGCATTTCCAGTTTTACTTCCTTCCTGCACAAACCTATGTAGGTTTGTAGCAAATTTGCATAATGCCAGCCTATGTTCTTCATTGGCTATTCAAGACCAACGTCATTTTGACCCGCCCTCAAAGATGTAGCTGAGGACGGGAAGAATTTGGTTTGTGTTGTCGACATGTCGAGAAGACGTTGTTTTCTGCGCTGCCAAAGCAAATACACTTTGCACACACTTCCAAAATATGAGTATGAGGTTTGAATTGATACAGTAAAACTGACGCCATCATTACTGTTGGTATCAGTGTGTGTATCAAGTGCTGAGGAAGCCCCCGGAGCTGAACTTCAGATATGGTAATGGCTGTTTGGTTTCCGACACGTACTGTAAACGGTAGACCAATAACAACAGACAAGGCCATCTGACCAATCAGAGCAGAGTAGCTCACGGAAAGGAGGGGCTTAGAGAGACTGATTCCTTTACTGAATCATTACAGACACTGTGAGAAAAGAGGTGATGTTGCAATGTATATTATGTGAAAATAAAAGTATTGTTTTGACCTTGGATGCATGTAAACCTATTGTAGGAGACCTCCAAACAAAATTAAGAACCTTTAAAATAGCCAAATAGGGGCAATTTGTTTTCCATTAATAAGAAATAAAACATTGCTTTTTGTTAGTCTTTTGTGAGCTTACCTTCCAGGGCTGATTGCTGTTCTGGTAGTCGCTCAAAGAAAACCTTCAAATTCCTCAAAATGTTCTGCTGCCGGAGGAAGTACAGGATTTTCTTTGCATAGTACTTAAGTGTCAAACTTTTCCTGAAGCCATCATAGGAAAGGAGGACATTCATAAATTCAGTTAAACCATTTAGTGCTCAGAAAAAAATACATATCGTAAGCGTGAGCTCATCTCTAACCTTTTCTCGGAGTTCAAAATACCAAGCAGCTCATCCTCACAGAAGTGTTCTGGGGCACCAAGAGACTCGATTTCTGCAAAGCTGTCTCCAAGAACCTGACCAACGCAAGGCTGAGTTACAGAAATAATAGATTAAATACAACTTACCTTACGGAAAGGAGTAAGTTGTACAATACCTGTACAAAGCAGTGCGTAATTGTCATGCCATAAATATGATGATATTTTCAGCACATTGTGACAGTCTCTTGTAGAGTCACTTACAACTTCTGTGAAGAACCTCTTGGAAATAGACTCTACTGTTCTTCTTATCTGTTGACCAACCATGTCCCGGCTCTTGAATTCCTTTAGCCAATCGTATGACTCATTATGCCGATAAAATCTCTGCAGCCTGGGCCACCTAAAACATTAATGATACATCAGTAATGTTTGACATGTATATATAAATGTGGCTAGGATAATGTTGTGTGTCATATTATAAAGTATATTTGTTTATATATCACCTAGATTAAGAGGATGCAATTTAATTTCATGCAAAATGTAACAAAAAAGCTCTAAACTGTAATTTGCATGTATCTGCCAAAGCATAACTAACTATAGTATACACTAAAACACAATAGTGACTATAACATTAATAAACTTAAAACCATAGTTCTATTTAAAGAAGGTTTTTTTTTCATGTAGGCCTATATGTTAATTTATTATAAGCAGAATTTCATGCATTTTTGTGTTTAACGTTGTAAACAATTATAAGTGCATTTCGTTCTTTCAACGTATAGGAGGTGAGTCCGTAATAGTTAAATATTACATGTTATGCATCTCTCTGCATGTGCACACTGGACCGAATTTGGTGCATCAGCAGAATGAGAACACGACCTGACAGCTCTCAAGTCACGCATTCAATACACATCTTAAACCACCTATCAGGGATCAAACACATTTCTTATGGTTTAAAAAATCTCGAGGTTGATGGAGGTATAAAGCTTTAGAAATGTGTTTAATTTATGCCACCTGAGTTTGTACTGATGCGCCCAGACCTTTCCTCTGCCATGGCACACGTCATGCAGCCTCTTGCACGTGCAGGAAACGTTGCTAATGTCGATATGGTTTAGAACGGGAAAGCACAATATATGCTCTAATAATTCGGCGGGTAAATCGGTTAACTGCTTAGCGAAACTCTCTGAAATATCCGTATTTGTCCCTAAAACTCGATCTCCCGTGTATGGCGTCGCCATCTTTTCTGTTTACTCCGATGACCTCATCGAAGCCCCGCCCAGTTGTCAACGAAAGCACGCCCCTTTCTGGTGCAAAGGGCTGAACTTTGAGAATATCGTGAAATAAGCCGAATATACCCATTTATATTTGAATGAAACACGTAAATTTAACATTTATTATAAATATTAATTTATAATATATTATAGTGTATACAATTTAGAATTGTATATATTGTAAAATAAAAATACAATTCAGGCATACATTAGTAAAGGACATCATATTTAAAGTAGTTAACCAATCTATTTTATTTTATTTTAGTTTTATTTTATTTATTTTCCGTTCATTTGAATTTAACATTTAAAATAAAAACTGAACATAGATTTCGCATTTAATCTGGAAATGTAGATACTTTGTAGCGTATATTATATTTACATTCCTAATTTGATTTAAATTATTAATACTAATGACCTATTTATAAATAACAATTCAAAGTAATAAATGTATAAATTAGTAAACAATTTTAAGGTGATTAACAATCGTTTTATGTTAAGAATTTACTCTAAATGTACTGATGTACAATATTCTTAGCATTTTTACAGCATGTCCAAAATAATATCTTAGTTTTACTTTTTGGAAATAAATGACTGGAAGTGCTTTAATTTTATAATAATTAGGGTATTGTGCGATGTATTATCTCCTGACAAAAAAGGGGGCTTTTAACTAGCTCAATGACGCGCACTTTTGCGCATGTCTTTCCTCCTCGTGCACGCGCAGGCGAAGTTTCAGCTGCAGTTTTGGCCCGAAAGAGTCAAACCAGGAGCGGTGTTTGTGTGTCAGGTGTTAAAACATACTTGAATCACACACACACCGCAGGAATTGAGCTGTGTTTCCGGCTCGACAGGTGAGTTATTAACCGGTTAACGAGCTGTCTGTCCAATTCCATCAAAAACACTCATAACAAAACAAAACAATGAGGCATGAAACCGTAGATTAGCATAAACAAGCGTTTATAAGTACGTCAAATGTTGTGAAGTATTGTAAATGTTAGTATTTTGCTACACGAATGTATAGTTAAGTGTTATATAATAGGTTAATGTTTGTTCTCAGTTATCTGTCATCTTATATCACGCTTATAGCCTAGTAGTTTAAAATTAGCTTCTTTTGTCTGTTGTTATTGCACATGCAGTATATTACTAGCAAATAAGTTATTCATCAGTAAACTTATGCTATTTTCTTTTCCTTTTATCTTCTTCTTACAGGCTTAATGGCGCTTTAGAGGAAGTAAAAGGGATAGTATGTGCCCAGCTGCTAGTTAACAGTTAATGCAGGTGGTTTGTCAACATCATGCCTTTAGACATGCACTTTAATCACATGTATTGTTACATTTGCCAGTAATGCTAGGTTGAAGCTTTTAACAAGAGGTCAACACTTAATGTTTCATCACAAGCTATGCTTCAGATATAGTTAGTCAACAGGTTTATGTTGTTCCTAAAGAGGTGGAAAGTTAGGCAGCTATTATGGCAAGTGTCCTTGCATCAAAAATGGGACTCAATTCCCTCTGGAGGAAACAAGCCAAAAACTTCAACGTCACAATTGTTACAATGGATGCTGACTTGGAGTTTAGCTGCGAGGTAAGTGGCTTGGAGCATTTTGCATGAATGTGATGTTTGTATAAATGCATTGTTTTTATGTGGTGGTGAAGCTCCCTGAATTATGACAGAATTAAGTTTAAGCTGTCTATGTAGGAGTGCATATCGCATTCATGCTATATTATGGTTGTAAACCTATTGTAGCGTACCACCATACCTGTACTGTCAGTGATCAATGCTTCTTATCAGCAACCAGAGGGCTTGTAAGCATAGCTTAGGGAAGGCACCAGGCTTTGGACATTTTAACGTCCCGGCTCACTGTTGTGCCCTTGAGCAAGTCACTCAACCTGACCTGTTTCTCCAGCGGAGCTGCATCAAGACATTCCTGTCTGCTGTTGCAGCTTTTTGTTTGAATGGAGAAACGGTTCAGTGGACTTAAGGAATAGCTCTTCCCAAAACGGAAATTCTGTCATTTACTCCCCTCGTGTCATTCCAGTGTATTTTATTTTTTATTTTTTTGTGAATACACGAGAATGTACAAGCTAGAGCTTGCATACCTCAAACGTGGGATGATGATTTATATCACCAAGCCAATGAAAAAGCACCATAAAAGTAAATCACCTTTTGAAAATAACTTGAGGCTTCAAGTAAACATTGTATCAAGATTGTGTCATTGAATCATTCAAGAGATTCGTTCAAAAACGCTGATTCATCCTAGGCTGCGTTCAACTCCACTTTTAAACATACACTCTGATCTTATAAGTGAAGTGCAGCTCTAGCATAAACCTATAAAATTCATACCTTTAATGCAAGTTAAAAACAAGTCAGGTTTTATGTCATTTATGTGAAACGCAATTAGTTCTTGTCAAAACTGCAAATGAACAATTTTGCTGTAAATGAGATATGAGTACTTTGAGGTGAAGATGATCCATGTACAACAACTTTAAATTTGTTTGTTTTTCTTCACACAAAGCTATCAGAAGGCTAGAAATATAGTGCACACGTTATATAGACCATTTTTAGTGTCCTTTTTGGAGCTTGGCTGCATAACACACCATTCAATTTTCTTGTGTGGAAAACAGAAGCTTGAACATTCTGCCTAACATCTCCTTTTGTGTTTGTGAAGATAATATTTCTTTAAAAATTATCTCAAACTTTTAAAAAAGGATTACTGCGATACATGAAGCAAGCAGCATCATGTATCGCAGTAATCCTCATTCCCGCATATAAAGGTGTTTTCTACAAACTGTGGATCCAGTGGGAGTTCTGCAGGCATATAGAGGGTTTCTCTGTGGAGCTGCACTTCATTTGCACATAGCATGCACTGAGTTTCTTGCAGGAAGATGCCCTATTTTTACACACAACATCACAAGAGAGTGTTTTTGAATTAAGGGAAAACAGATGGTGGTAAGAGAACTGCGTGACAGACGGGTACCATGAGTGAATGTCCCATGAGGCACGACGGTCCCACTCTACAAGGCCCTGTGCCTGTGTTTGCCTGTCTCTCACTCTTTTTTGATCTTTCACACTCATTAACAGTATTTCCCTTGGTGGCAGTGAGGTTCTGAGGGATCATGGTGCTGTTGTCATATACCGATAAGGGGGCATATATGTAGCCTTCTACAAAGTGGCTTTAGACACAAAACTAAATGTATAGGCTAGTTAGAATTAAGGGAGCAAGATGTAGCAGCTCTGGTTGAGATATTCTTCATTAGACACATTTTTTTTTGTTATATTGATAGATGAATATTACAGGTTCAAGCTTATGCTATCGATTACCACAAACAGTAACAGTATTTTAACTTAATTATTTTGAACAAAAATTGTATTTGAGTAAAATTGTCTAAATCCTTTTAGCAGTTGCAATACTGTTCTATGCCCTTTTAACATTGGTATTTGTTACAGATGTCATTCATGTGAGTGGAATTTGCTCCGTGTAAACAATTTTATAGTATTGTTTGGTGGTTTTGTGACAGCTTTGACTAAATCATGACGTTAAATATTGGATCAAAAACTTAAAACATTTAAAAAAACATTTAAAAAGTTAAAACATTTAGCTCCATAGACTTCCATTATAAGTGCAATAATTACTGAACATGTGTTTTTATAAACTAAGGGGTGAATTTAAATTCTTTTCTGTGGTAAACATCAGCATTTAGAGCAAATTCAGAGCTTAAGTAGTAATATTTAACCCAGAATATTTATTAAGACTACAAAATTAAGATTCGTTTTTGGTGCATCTTTGGATTTCATAAACAACACCACTTGGTGGCAGCATGGATTTAGAAAACAAAATCCATTTCTCTTATAGTCTTTCGCTTTTTCTCTCTCCTCACAGACATTGAGATTTTATTGCGTATCATTCATAGCTGATAATAGCTCAGCACTGAAGTCATCTACAGGGTTTGCTAAACCACAATTTTTAGAACCTTTGTGTATAGTAATGGATATTATTTCATTCACAGTGACAGAAAAAGGTCCCCAAACAGTTATGAATAACATAGCCAAAATCCTTAAACTAGAGGGAAAACCATAAAGTCAGTTTTACTTTATTTTTTAGCTCTTAAATATTTACTTAGCATGCTATTAAAGTGAAAATGAAGTGTGAGAATGCACAACAGATTCCATACAGATTGTCACCTGAAAAAAGGCGTTTCAAATATTTTCATGGGTTTCAGTTTAAGCATTGTCATGCAACTTATTAGAAGTACAGAATGCCTGCTACATATTTTCTATTCGGAATACAAAACATTTCATCTGTATTTGTATTTGTGCTCTAGGCTAATATTTATTTTAATCCATCTCTGTGTGATACCGGACTGGTATTACGTGTGCTGATGTCATCTAATCTTGTGCCGTATAACAAGATAGACAGTCTTGGGTGTAGTTCAGTCAATAAAATCTGATTTGAGGTAATAGCATGGGGCTCAATATTGGATATAGACAGAATTTGACTTTGAGGTTACTGCTTTTGTTCTTTCTTGTGCTGTTACGCTGTACTTTTTTCACCCTAAATAGCCACATAACTTCTCTGCTGAATATTTAGGGCCGTGAGCGAACCCCTCATTTCTCTGTGAAAGTTTACACCAGCTGACGGTCATCCTTGAAGGCAGCCCGTCAGCTTCCTAGAGGAGAAGCATCAGCATATTTAATTGCTTGGACTCTGGGGGGCAGCATATTGTCATATGTTCTCATACATAAACATTAGGCAAGATGAAACCGCATCTTGAAAAGCACCTGTCCCTGTTATGCTAATACAGTTTGCAGTGTTGATGATGTCTGCAAGACTGTGGAGGTTGTCAGTACTTATAACAGCAAGTTTCTGTCCTCTGTCATAACTTTAATCATTCAAGGTGGCAAGTGTATTGTTCACAAGACACTAACATCTAGCTCAGCTGCATCCTACTAATGACAAGGCTAATCGAGCACAGATGCTTACACAAGAGAATTATTCTCACAAGATGAGGTTTTGAATTGTTATTCTGCTAATATACTCCTGCAGATTGCATTCTGATATCCAAAGTTATTAAATGGACAGCTATTTCCAATGTCAGTTTCTTTTCTCAGTCCAATCCATCTAACCAATAAAATGAATGATAAACATGCAGCCTTGTGCAGGTACTTTTGGTAGTAATAATGAATGTTTTGATGTTCCTTCATTGATTCTGTGCAAGTACACTGTATGCACAAAACAATTCGTCATTTTACTGAAAAATAAACAACCGATATGCATCTTCAGTTATTCACCTATTGAATATGGTCTTTTTTTTCCCCCTGGCCACCTGACAGTAGTCCTGATAAAAGATGAACTGATATGTCCGAAAACGAGTGAATGGTCTTACTGACAGCAGAGACTTTGTAATGATGCCCAGACTCATTTCTCTTCCTTGTGTCCACATGGTTTGTGGAAATTAGGTTATTCGGGGAATGCCATTGTTCATTATACTGGAGCTGTTCAGATTTGTGGTCAGTCTGAATTCCATTAGTCTGTTGCAATCCTTAAGAGAGTTAAAGTTTTTTGAAATGTTAAATTTGGGATTAAATTGTGTTCAATGTCTGTATATGTCCCAGCTCAACTTCTTGTTTCAACAGAACAAGAATTATGACACCAGAATGGGTCTTTAAATTAGTTTTAAATTCAGCCTGTAGTTTAACATGCACTTCTTACTAACCCTTTTTTGTCATTTTGTTTGGGCAGCTGAAGTGGAAAGGAAAGGATCTGTTTGAACTTGTGTGCCGGACACTGGGACTCAGGGAGACATGGTTTTTTGGTCTGCGGTATGACGTCAAAGACACTGTGGCATGGCTGAAAATGGACAAGAAGGTAAAACACTCCTGTTGAACTTTCCTTCACTTTCCAAATAGCGGCAGTCGGATAAATGCTATTCTTTTGTTATCATAGATCATGATATTCTGATTTACTTAATTTAGGCTTTTAAAAGTATTTTTGACTGTTCTGAGTAATGATATACACTACAGTTCAAAAGTTTGGGGCCAGTAAGATCATAAAGACTTTTACATTGTTACAACATTTCTATTTCAAATAAATGCTGTTCTTTTCAACTTTCTGTTCATCAAAGAAACTTGAAGAGGAAACAACGCATATCACAAGTTCCGCATTAATATTGAGCAGTACAACTGTTTTCAACATTGACAATAATAAGAAATGTTTCTTGAGCAGCAAATCAGCATATTAGAACGATTTCTGAAGAATCATGTGACGGAAGACTGGAGAAATTATGCTTTGCCATCACAGGAATACATTACATATTCAATTATATAAAATAGGAAACCGTTATTTGAAATTGTAATACAATTTCACAGTATTATTATTATTTTTTATTTTGTTTTTACAGTATTTTTGATCAAATAAATGCCTTGGTGAGCATAAGACACAATAAAAAAATCTTAACGACCCCAAACTTTTGAACTAGTGTACATTAAAACAAACTTTCATGAAAACCAACCCAACACAAAACAAGTACTATGGCATTATAATGGCACAGTGAGGATTTTAGATGGTATATGATAATACTAAAGGCTTGTACCATGGTCTTTTCGCTGTACTTCAAAGAATACTATAGTACTACTTTGGCACATGTCCAAAAAGGACATGACATTATCATTTGAATCATGATGTCCAAACTCATGTTACTATTGGCAGTGTATATAAAGTATGCAATGCGCAGCAGAATATTGGTCATGACTTATCTTTGTTATAGGTTTTGGATCATGATATGCCCAAAGAGGAGCCTATAGTGTTTCATTTCCTGGCCAAGTTTTACCCAGAGAACGCTGAGGAAGAGCTGCTGCAAGATATGACGCAACACCTCTTCTTCCTGCAGGTGAGTCATTGGCTCAGATGGGTTTAGCTGGAATACAGATCAAATTAATTGGATTTTTTTGGCATGTTGCCACTTTTATTGATAGGAGGATAGAGAGAGGACAGCATATAATAGAAAAAGAGGTGACGAAACTCTCATGTGTGCTAACTGCTAGGTCATGGCTTCAGCAAATTTCATTGAATTAAAGAGTTAGTTTACTCAAAAATTAAAGTTCTGTCGTTAATTACTCACCGTCAAAGTGGTAGTTGCGTAGCTGTCAATGGAGGGACAGAAATCTCTCAGATTTCATCAAAAAATATCTTCATTTGTGTTTCGAAGATGAACGAAAGTCTTTGGACACATGAGGGAGAGTAATTAATGACAGAATTTTAATTTTTGGGTGAACTATCCCTTTAACATTCATTCTTAATTGCATACAACAGAGCAGTTTCTTTATAGCCAAAATCTATAACTATGAAGATAACTATAACTATATTAGCGTTCAAATCAGTGGACAATATTGTTCTGTCATTCTAAGCGCGCTGCAGTTTTGTTGTCTGTTCTGTTAATTTAGCCTGGTAATACCAGACTCTGCTACTTCACTTTGCTTCGTAGACAGAGTCTGGAATGGCATAATAGAGAAGTGTTTTCTCTCTCGCTAGGGGGCGCTTGTCTGAAGTTTAAAATCATTGGTTACCCGTAAGCCAATCAGATACGTTTATATATGACGTATGTTATGGGCCGACACAGCCGCATCGAACCACAGACATCATGCATCGAACTCAAATCTATGATCGAACTTCCACTGTAAACCTGCTGTAAACACTTGATGATGCGAGCGAAATACCGTAGTGAACATGGCTGTAAACGACTTTTGCAGATTATGCAAAGTTAATCTACGCATCCACGGTACAATCAGGGCCTCTAAACTGATATTTGACAGTAGAGAGAAACAAAAAAATATTTGCAGCCAACTGTCAAAGTTAGGATTAGTTCTGTTAAACACAGCTCTTTGTTCATCTCGAGTCTGTCGGAAATGCTGCAACTTAATTGCAAGATTACAGCATGTCATGGCAATATTTAAGACCTGGAAAAGAAAGGAGACACTGACCTGTCAAAAGGCTCCCCAGTTTCTCGCTGACGATCGGTAATAGTTGATAAATTAAACTTTTGCCAAAGGGAGTAGGGCCACAACATCACCTCCATTCAAAATGTTTAATACACACTCTTCTTGTTCGGGCTTCAGTTTGCTAATGCTGGGAATATTCTCCACAACTGAGCGAATTGCATCCGCGTCTCCATATCCGCGGTCGTTTTCGATTTCCCTGACCTAATCTTAAACTCGGCGCTTAGCGACTACGTCACGGCTTTCAGCCCGCCCTCTGTTCGTTGATTGGCCGGCTGTTTTCAGGCCGGAGGAAAACGGATAGATAGGCCGCTGTCTCAGTCTGAGTACAGAAGCGAAATGAAATTGAGCGGAAGTACGAAGTCTGACGTAGTCGGGCTACTGTTAAATGCCCAAGCTCTTTAAATCATGTTTTTATTGAAAAAAAAAAAAAAAAATCGCTCTGAAAGCGATTCCAACAATATTGTTTCTCTGGGCTGTTATCTTTATAGTTTTTTGGTGTGGACTCTGCTATTCTTTTATAACTATATCTTTATCATTATCGTTATAGTTATCGATCTTGGTGTGAACGGGCCATAACTCCGAACCCCGGGTACCTTCATGCTCCAAGCGCAAGAGCAGAAAATTGATTTATTGTTAATTTGATTTCTGCATAGTGTTGTGCATAAGTAATCTAGTTGGACTGCAAGTATTGTCTGTACACAACAGCAGGTAATGACGTGTCATTGACCCGCACTCAAAAGCCATTTCATTTCAATAGGCTTGGCAGCAGAAATGAGCTCCTGTATTCGGTTTCTCGTGCAGTTCTCTGTAAGAGAGGCTTGTGGGCTGCTGTCTGCGGGTTCAGTGCGCTCTTTCATTGTTTGGTGTGATTGTGTTCAGTCATGTGGAATCGGTGTGCTCCACATCAGGGCCCCTGTCTCTGATTCTATAAGCCCAGGGGAACACCTCCCACCGTAATACGGCTTCCTGCCAAGGTTCCTTCTCAGCGATCAGAAAACATTAAGCAATAACTTTTCGATAATGAGCACATTATCAATCATTTTTATTGAGCAGGTTGGTTGCTCAGCATGGGAGGTAAATAAGCACCTGTTTTGCATGCACTTGTGATCGAATGTTAAGTTGTGGCAATTTGCCCTTCAATTTACAGTGCTTGTATCAATCCAGTGGATTTAATGCATAGCAAAGGGCACAAGGAGAAGATATGAACATTCTGAGAAAACTTAAGTAGCTTATCTTCACACGTAATGGGAGGTTGAGCTGCACCGCTTCAGGATGGCAATGCACTCTGAAAACCAATGTAATGAATTCTCAAAAGATGCTAATGAATTCTGGGAAGAGATTGGAGAACGGTGAGTCTGTTCTCTTTTAGCCTCTGCTCATATGTAGGCTGGGATAGAGCCGCGTGTTTGGATGTGCAGATCCTGTTTAAAAGCGCTCGCCTGGATGGGCTCTTATCAGGAACGGCCACCCTTCCCAGACTGCGCTCTTAAAGTGCTGTCACATTTGTAAAGCAGATTTAAAAGACGACCATAATAGCCAGAACCTTTTTGACCAGTCACTGACACGTTGCATGCTCCTTTTGTGACTGTTTTCAGACTGAATGATAGTCAGATAAAAAAGAGCATGCATAATTTTTTTTTTTTTTGAAGCAAGCCTTAATAGTTTACCTGAAAAATGAATATTCTGTCGTTATTTACTGTACTCATGTCGTTTCACACCCATATTACTTTCTTGCTTCTGTGGAACACAAAAGAAGAATTTTTAAAGAAAATCCTTGCTACTCTTTTCAATATAACAAAGGTGAATGAGGATTGGGGCTGTCAAAATGACAAGAATAGTATATCATATTATAGAATGTTATGAATTATAGAATATTATTACAATCTTCTTAATAGAAGATTTTTTTTATGTTTTTGAAAGAAGTCTCTTATGTTCACCAAAGCTAGATTTATTTGATAAAAAATACTGTAAAAACAGTTATATTGTGAAATATTATTACAATTAAAAATAGCTGTTTTAATATATTATAAAATGAAATTTCTGCATTATTACTCCAATCTTCAATGTCAATTTTCAGAAATCATTGTAATATGCTGATTTGATGCTCTAGAAACCTCTTATTATTATCAATGTTGAAAACCGTTGCCTACTAGCCTACTAGCCGAGACTCCTTCTTTATGTGTACAGATGTGTGTGTACAGATGTGACGTAATGACTCAATATAGCCTACTAGCCGAGACTCCTCCTTTATGTGTACAGATGTGTGTGTACAGATGTGACGTAATGATGCAAAGACATGCTTGAATCTCCCGCGGAAATCCACCAGTACCACTGGAATTAAAAACATTATTACAAGCTTACCGTTTTGAATCGAGTTAAGGCAAGCAGATAGTTTTGAACACTGGCTGGTTATGTATTTTTTCTCAAATATGTATTTTGGATAATTTTTAACCCAAAAAAAGCTACGGACTGCAGCTTTAATATTTTTGTTGAAACCGTGGTACATTTTATTTCAGGATTTTTTGAGGCATAGAAGAGCATTTATTTGAATTGGAAACCTTTTTTAACATTATTAACCGTCACTTATTCAGCAAGGATGCATTCAATTGATAAAGTATACATTTCTTTCAAAAAAATATTTTTTTGGCTGCCAGTATTAAATAGTGAATAATATGGTAACACTTTACAATAAGGTTTCATTTGTTAACTTTAATGTATTAACTAATCATGAACAAATACATTTGTTACTGTATTTGTTAATCTTTGTTCACATTATGAAAATCCAACTGGTCGTTGCTTGTTAATGTTAGTTTTCAGTGCATTAACTAATGTTAACAAATACACCTTTTGATGTTAATAATGTATTAGTAAATGTTGAAATTAACATTTAATAAATTCTGTAAAAGTGCAGACTGTGCAGTTCATTATTAGTTCTTGTTAACGAATGAAACCTTATTTTAAAGTGTTTCTAATAAAGATAAAAAAATATATATGTTCCTCCTCACTATAAGACATAATAAACTGTGTGAGTCGTTCCGATCCCTGTTATGACACTTTTGCATACTTTCCAGCCACAAAACCGCAACCAGAATATTTTTGTAATGATCGTCATACAGGTTCAAAACATGTAAATAATGACAGTTTTTGTTTTTGAGCAAACTGTTGTTCATTTATAGATTGGCATTTGGTTGTTTTATTGTTGGTTTTTAATGAGTTCGAGCTTGTGGTAATTGTGGCCCTGTTGTTAAACTTAGTTTTTTTTTTGGCATCTGTTTTCTTGTTATGATTAAATGAGATCATTTTTTATTTTGCCAAGCAGTTAATGGTCGGCACAGTGATCAGCCATCTCCCATTTGGCAAGGCTGCAGTATTTTACTCGGAATTTGGCACTGGTTCATTGTTGAAAATTAAATACTAACCTTTTGGTGTGAACACACATTTATGCATTTATAAACTGTGTACATAAACAACCTTTTTGTTCTGTTACCCACGTCTTTTGTTCTTAAAGGTCAGAGGTCTATTCCTCCATTCCTTATTAATTTTCTCTTTTGATGAACCATGAAGTCAGGAATTAAATTAATTAATTTGATTCTTTGATTCATTCAGTATTCTATCAATTAGTCGTTACAGTGCTAGCAAGGCAGCACTGCATTGAAACTTTTTCTTTTTCTTTTCCACAGGTTTCTTGAATTAGTTCAGCATGTACTTATTAAATACTTATTCTATTTGATATATTGTATTTTTTGGTTTCTAATTAGCAAAATATAAATTTTTCAAATTGATTTATTTTAATGTTTCACTATTTTGTTTTGTTTATTTTATTTGAAAAATTCTACACATTCAGAGCAAAAAAATCTAAACCTATTACTGAAATCTTGAACTTTATTTTTTGAATTGGAACTCTAATAGATCCTATTTATTCATTGTATAAATTATGGATACTCAAATTATGACCAGGATTAGGAGTCTGCACTAGGACTCTGAGCAGTCCTATCCCAGGTCGCCTATTTTCTCCTAGTCTCGTGTAGCTAGACCTTCAGACTGATGGCAGAAGGTCTGGACTCACTCAATCGCAGCTTTCATTGGCCTAGGATCCCCTAAGAGGACATCTGACTGATATGTAAAGCAACCAATCACAGTTTTTTTTTTTGCATCATGTTTAGGGGATTAAAAATGTAAATTTGGTGTTCCATACCGGCATGCATCTAATAAATTATCCATTCAAAAATGTTGGCAAGTATACTGCAACAATGGAGCTGCAAACTTCACATACTTTTGAAAATCCAGCATTTAGTTGGTCCTGATAAGTGCTCAGTTGTAAAAACGACAGCTTTCTTCTTCCATCAGGGGTTTTGGCGTCACGGCATCTTTGTTTCCAGGCGGACGGATAAGGAACGCGACATTGATAAACATCTCTCAGAAATCCTGTAGAATTCAACCAATCAGACAACGACTTGAAACCTTCTGAAGTGTTTACCATTTTGTGTGCCATGTGAATCAGACGTTCAGCCAGTGGTCCGCATGACGTCTGAGGTGGAGAGTAGTTTTTTTCCCTACAACCCCACTTGGAATTCAACTTAGCAGCTCTGTGGCAGTCATTGTGTAACCTGTGAGGCATCTGCTACTTCTAGAGTTCTTAAAGCTGACCCTGAAATATTCTGCTTTTGCTTTGTATTTTCAGCCTTAAATGACATCTGGGCTTTGCAGTCCATAGAGCCTGAAGGAGACAACCTCTGCCGGCTTACTAATGGATAGTTGAAAGGATAGCTGAAAAACAGTGTTGTTTGCTCAGTGTATTCAGAAAGTACCTGCCAAAATATCTAGTTTTCTGTAAAGCATTAAAGTTCTCTAGACTTTGACGATGGAAGTTTTAACTATTTGGGGATCTATTTCTGACATTGTGGTTTGGTCACAGTTTGTAGTTACTTTAAGTAGAAAGACGTATACACAGACCACTTTATCTCATGTTGTTTCTGTTTCCATGAAATAGTTAGCATCTAGCTAAATTATTTACTTTAAAAGTTGCTTAGTATTATTTTAAATTTAAATGAAATTTTATACTTGGATGCATACTTTGAAAATCCACCACCATACTTTGCTGTATTCAACATACTACTTACAAACTGTTTATTTTGTGTCTTTAGTTTTTAAATTAAAAATAAGTTTATTCAGCAAGGATGCATTCTATTGTTCAAAGCGACCGTAAAGATATGTATAATGTTACAAAAGATTTATATTTCAAATAAATTCTGTTCTTTTGAACTTTCCATTCATCAAAGTGTCCTAAAAATGTGCATCACAATTTCCACAAAAATATAAAGCAGCACAAGGTTTTCAGCATTTATATTAATAAGAAATGCTTCCCCGTATGCTTCCAACGGTGTCTCTAGGAACATTTAATTCCTTTACTATCTTTTTGTATCCTGTTTCTTGTTTGTGAAGGGCGATGATATCTTCTCTCAACTTCTTGGACCATTCTTTTGATTTAGCCATATTTCTAACATGCAGTCAAAAGTGACATATGGGTCCTTTTTTGCAAAAAAATACTTTCTCTAATGTTGTTCTATAATACGTGCTAGCAGTAGCATTAGTAGTGAAAGGTCTGGGCAAACACTGCAAAGGGATGATCCTTGAAAAACCTCTGTTGTGCCCTTTAGCAAGATCCTTAAGTTAACGTTAAGTGGTTTTAGGGTGATTGTCACTGTAATTTATCATGATGGCATTGCATAAAATTCTTGGTAAAAAATTCCCCAAAATGTATAGAGATAAATAATAATTAAATTCTATTCATCCTGCAGGTAAAGAAGAACATCTTAGAGGAGGAGATATACTGTCCTCCCGAGGCTTCGGTGCTGTTAGCCTCTTACGCCGTCCACGCTAAGGTCAGTGCTCTTTCTAACACACTTGTTTTTCTTTAAAAAAAAACTTTCTTTCTTTGATAGACACGCAGAAAGGTGTCAGAGCTTAACCGTAACCTCCTGTGGACGTCCCTTCAAGGTCGGCATCTATCCCATTACACTTCCCACAGAAGAAGTGCATTTTATTAAGCAGGTGTCAGTTTGATTGACAGCTCAGGGGCAACAAGAGCATGTGATTTATCCAAAAGCCTCGGCTAACTGCACACCGCTCACTTTGTGCCAATTCAGAAAGCGCACTCTGTTTCTCTCTGACTCATGTCAGACACAGAGGGAACGCTAGATGGCTCTAAAAACGGGACGGGAATCTACTAAAGCGTTTGTTTGCTTTAAGCTTCACATGGTTTAGCTGGGTTTTTTTTTTGTCCTTGTGTTGGTGTGCATTAGTCTATGATGGTTTTTCAAAGCTTTTTACAGTGCTGCAAACTCAGAAATTTGCCCGTTTTTATTTGAAGTTTGTCATGTATGTGATTTGTGGACAACTGATCAGTTTTTTTATTTTATTTGATATTATAGATTTATCAAAAAACAGAACAACGTAATGTTATTTAATCTGTTTTAGTATATTAGTTTCCTATTTGTGTTTTTAACTCAACTGTTGTTACGTAATCTGTTTTAGCATTTATTCCAGATCAATCAGTTAATCAGGGGCACGTTTCCCAAAATCATTGTAAGATTAAGTTGATCGTAGAACAATTACCACTAATGGTCTCCACGATCAACTTAGGCTTATGATGCTTTTGGGAAGCACATCCCAGATATTTTGGTTTGAGTCCAAGTTTTAAATAAAAGAAAATAATAATCAAATTAGATAGTAAATTAGTATACTATCATTCAAAAGTTTGGGGACAGTAAGAGTCAAGACTTCAAGACAAATGAAGAGATGTCTTATCGATCAAAAGTTCAGTATGGCGTACCACAAGGCTCAGTACTAGGACCATTGCTGTTCACTCTGTACATGCTACCATTAGGAGATATTAGGAAACATGGCGTTTGTTTTCACTGTTATGCTGATGATACTCAGCTCTATTTTTCTTCACGCCCTGACGAACTTACCAATTCACAAAATTAACGGAATGCATAGGTGATATAAAAATGGACGACTAGTAATTTCCTACTACTTAATTCTGAAAAAACAGAGATTTCAATTATTGGACAAAAAACTTCCTCACGTAATAACCTAGAATACTGTCTAACACTTGATGGCTGCTCTCTCAAGTCTTCGTCGTCGGTTAGGAACCTGGTTGTGCTCTTTGATACCAATCTTTCATTTGAAATTCACTTGTCTAGTATCTTTAAAACCGCATTTTTCCATCTTAAAAATATATCTAAATTACGTCATATGCTCTCATTGACAAATGCGGAACAGTAAGTTCATGACATCAAGGCTATATTATTGTAATGCTATTATGGGTGGGTGCCCTGCACGCTTAATAAACAAACTACATCTGGTCCAAAATGCAGCAGCTCGAGTTCTTACCAGAACCAGAAAGTATGACCATATTAGCCCGGTTCTGTCAACACTGCATTGGCTCCCTATTAAACATTGTATACATTTTTAAATAATGCTGATTGCTTACAAAGCACTAAATGGTTTAGTTCCCCAGTACCTGAGCGAGCTCTTAACGCATTATAATCCTTCACGTCTATCTCAAAATTCCGGCCAGTTGATAATACCTAGAATATCAAAATCGACTGCTGGCGGTAGATCTTTTTCCTATTTAGCACCAAAACTTTGGAACAGTCTTCTTACCATTGTCCGGGAAGCAGACACACTCTGTCAGTTCAAATCTAGACTAAAAACACATCTCTTTGACCTTGCATACACAACACATTATAGACTTCTATAATTCAATGTTAGGCTGCATAGATTAGGTCAGCCGGAACCGGGAACACTTTCCATAAATCCTTATGTACTTGTTACATCATAAGAAGGATGGCGTCTACGCTAATATTAGTGTCTGTCTATCCCGAGGTTTACCGCAGTCCGCCGGATCCAGGCCGTATCCAGATCTGATGAAGGACCTGCGCCTGAACCCGACGTCGACGCAGTTCTGAAGTGTCAACTAGTTAGAGGTCTGCACGGGCTTTAAACTGAAGCCCGAACCCAGCCCGTACCCGCGATCTTTTAGCCCGACCCGACAATTACATTTACATATTAAGCCCGAACCCGAGGTCCATTCTCTTTCTCACAGCAAATACCATTTTTGCAATATGCTATGTTGTATTTAATGATTGCTTGACATATTAAACAAATACATGTAGGCGCAGCGGCCCTATCAGCAGACAGCACACCAGTTAGAGAAAAAACTTACCAAGTAATTTTTTGCTTTATCAGACTCATGTCGTCTGCTGTCTGTCTGTATTGTGACTGAAATAGCGCGTGAGAGCGGTGGCACATGCGCAAAACAGTTTTGTGATATAAATGATATGATAAAATAAAACAAATAATTAAAAAAATTATATATATATATATATATATATATATATATATAATGATATATATATATATATATATATATATATATATATATATATATATATATATATATATATATATATATATATATATATATATATATATATATATAATTTTCATTATCATTATATTTGAGAGAGAGAGCCTGTGTGTCTGACTGTGTGTATGCACATATTGCAGATCTGCGCACGTATGTAGGCTACTTTCTCTCTCTCTCGCGTGCCGGTCACCACAACACAGCAAGCAGGCAAAGCACACGCCACGCGAACTATATATAGCCTATTTAGTTTTTCTTAGTAAAACCCGAACCCGAGGCTGTTCATTAAACATTAACCCGAACCCGAACCGAAAGCCGCACATTTTTCGGGACCCGTCGGGCTCGGGTCGGGTAGCAGGCCTCTACAACTAGTCTCTCCCCTGTGAAGGCCTCCTTCCCTTTACCTCTGTACGTAAAACGTTGTCGGGATAATTCCGGTTCACGTGGCTATGCGGAAGCGATAAAAAAAATTATATTTCCTATTATCACTGTAAAGCTGCTTTGAAACAATCTATATTGTTAAAAGCGCTATATAAATGAAGGTGACTTGACTAAGAAGTATTAATTTATTATATATATATATATATATATACATACATGCATGCATACATGCATACTAGGATTTTTTTTAAAGAAATTAATAATTTTATTCAGCAAGGATGCATTGAATTGATCAAAAGTGACAGTAAAGACATTTATAATGTTACAAAAAGGATTCTTTGATTAATTGAATTATGCTTTCCCAAAAAGATTTAAGCAGCAAAACCGTTTTTTTGATGCTGACAATAATAATTGATAATAATTATAATAATTTCTTAATTATCATGTGGCACTGAAGACTGGAGAAATGATGCTGAAAATTCAGCTTTTTGTCACAGGAATAAATTACATTTTAAGATGTATTATAATAGAAAACACATTTTAAATTGGAGTAATATTTCACAATATTAGTTTTACTGAATTTATCAAACCTTAATGAACAATATGATTATTTCAAAAAGTAGTCTGTTTAATGTATTTGATTAATGCATTTGATTCAGTGTATCTGATTTATGTATTTTAAATCAATTAATTATCTAAAAAAGTTACTACCATGTTTATTAACCATTTTTTCATTGTATAATGCAAAAATTTACCGTTACTAGTGCAGTACATAAAATTACTTGTACTGTAATTTTAGAATTTGTTAATTTTACATCTGCTAGTAATCTGCTACTTGTGGCATTATTATAATTTTAATTAATGTGCAGTCACAGATGTGCATTAATTGGCTTTGAATGTGGCTCAGTCAATCAGATTTATCTGTTTTAGAAATGTGAGAAGCTGCGAATTTCTGTCTCTTTTTTAAACCATCAGGTGCAGGTTTGGAGTTATTCAAAGAGACTGGAAGTTAAAGAAGGCAAGAGCAGAGAGAAAGAGGAGGTGTAAAGGGAGTAAGAATAAAAAAAGAGGCATAGGCAGAAAAATCAAGGAAGAAAGAAAAAAGTGAAAGAGGGGAGAGGCTGAGATGGCAGCATTTTCTCTCTTACAGAGAGAGCTTGTTCTCAATGCAGGAGTGAAGCTTAGACAGTAACCATTTACTCTTTCAAATGGGGATGCTTTCACATGCCAGTCTCATCGCAGCTGAGCAGCATGAATCTGTCCGGAGCAAAATGACATGCCAGCGGGACACTGAGGAATTTTAATGTCTTGCCTTTTCTGTTTCTGCATATCTGCTTGTTCCTCAGTTTCTGCACAGCAGTCCACAATCTGTAATGTTGTGTCTTCGCTGTTTATTTGGGACGATTTCATATGCCTTGTCATACATGAGTTTTCTGAGATATTTTTATGTACTGCATCTGTGCCATGGTGTTGATTTACCACAGACCATTTCCTCAGTGTTTAAACCAAACATATAGACAATAAATACACTTAACACTTTCACACGGTACCGAAAGTATAACCATAACAATTAATTAATGTGTTTGGATAAGACCAGGGCCAGCAAAAAAGAAAGAAAGAATGAAACTTGTTTTTTGTTTACTTTTTTTTGGTAAGTTTGTGAGGGTAACAGAAAGGAATGTGGATGTACACAGTGTTCCAAAGTTTGGGGTCAGTAAGGTATTTTTTTTTATATAAAAAATAAATAAATGAATACTTTTACTAAGCAAGGGAATATTAAATTGATCAAAAGTGACAGTAAAGATGTTTATATTGTTACAAAATATTTCTATTTCAAATAAATGCTGTTCTTTTTAACTTTCTATTCATCAAAGAAACCTGAAAAAAATTCTTTCCACAAAAATATTGATTATAATAAACAAATATGAAAACAATACATGTTATTTTAAATTGTAATAATATTTCACAATATTACAGTTTTTACTGAATTTTTGATCAAATAAATTCAGCCTTGGTGAGCATAAGAGAAACCTTCTGACCCCCAACTTTTAAATGGTAGTGTGATAAAGATTTTGTTTTTTAAATGACCTGAAAATATTTGTCGTCATTTAAGTCCACTCGTCAATGTAGTTGTAACATCTGTGTAAAATGTAATTGTGCAATTTTCTTTCTCTCTCAGCAGTGCCTCTCTACTGATCTTACCCATAATTTCTCATAAAAATCAGAGCTGAATTTCATCCCATTATGATTTGAAAGTGCTTTCATGTTTTAGGCAACTACGTATTACTCAATTCACTTGAAGTGAGAGCAGGTGGATATAATTTTGTGACTGCATGAGTTCATGTTTTTCCTCTTCTCAATATTCATAATTGAGCTTATTTTGATTTGTCATCTTGCTTCTGCAGTACGGTGATTACGACCCTAATGTCCACAAGCCGGGCTTCCTGTCCCAAGAGGAGCTGCTACCAAAGAGGGTGAGTGTGATGTTGAGATGGGCGTCACTCCATGCTAATTACGCTGATTATGTTCGCAGAGCTCGTAACGAGCCTGTAAGGCTTCAGCGGGCTTCCCGTAGGGCGTTAGATGTAGTGAAAGCTCTCGGCTGGAAGCATCCGCTCACATGTCAGTAAGTACTGAGAGAGAGCGTTTGTTTACTCCACTGGCATTCAGAATCGTCTGAAGGATTTAAATAGTCACACTTAATTAGAAAATGTCCTTCAGCTCTATTAGCCATTGTGTTTGGCTCTGTTAACTCTTTTTACACACTTTTAATTCTTGTTTTTTTATGCTTTATTTTCCACACTGTGTTGTTTGGCACAAAAATGTGCTATATTCGTGAAATCAACACGTTTTCCTTTCCACCATAAATACTAGTGGCAGCCTTTTACCACTAAAGCTAGAATGACTCAGTAGGAGAAAAACTTTAGTTTTAGTCTCTTCGTTTTCAACAACCATTCCAGAACTTACTGTAACACCATACTATCTGCCCCAGAAACATTGCAAACGATGCAAAGAATGTGAGCTATTTTACTTTGGTAATTTATATAATACATTATAATTATATGCCACTGCTGTTCAAAACATGGGGTTGGTATGATTTTTTAAAATGTTTTTTAAAGAAGTCTCTTTTGCTCACCAAGGTGGGATTTATTTGATCATAATATTGTAAAATATGATTACAATTTAAAATACATTTTCTATTTACATACATTTTAAAATGTAATTAATTCCTGTGAAGCAAAGCTGTATTTTCAGCATCATTACTCCAGTCTTCAGTGTCACATGATCTTTCAGAAATCATTCTAATATGCAAATTTGCTGCTCAACAAACATTTCTTATTATTATCAATGTTGAAAATAGTTGTGCTGCTTAATATTTCTGTGGAAACCGTGATACATTTTTTTCAGGCTTCTTTGATGAATAGAAAATGAAGAACGAACAGCATTCATTTGAAATAGTAAATGTTTATAATTTTACAAAAGATTTCTGTCACTTTAGATCAATTTTCTCACAAAAAACAAAAATCTTACTATGCCCAAACTTTTAAATGGTAGTGTATGTCGTCAATAATTGTTCACTTCCCTCTTTTCAAGTGGAAATCTGCTTTCATTCCAACAAACAAAATGAATACTGATGTCAAACAGAGTCTGATGTGCACCAAGAGCTCTGTTGTGAAAATCCCATTATGAGAGAGTTAAAGTCTTAGTTCAAGTTGATGACTGATCTTTGTGTGTCTTTCTCTTGTGCAGGTTATTAATCTGTACCAGATGACTGCAGAGATGTGGGAGGAGAGAATCACGGTCTGCTACGCTGAGCACAGGGGCAGAACCAGGTATTGTACACCATATTCTCAGTCTTGCACGGCTTGCCCACGTACTGTTCATGTTCACTTGATGCAGTTTACACACAGAAATGGCACAGAAAAGCCTTTTAAAATGGCAGTTTTCAAGTGCAACAAGCAAAATGTGTTGGTTGCATGTTCAGACAACTGTTCTTTGCAATGTTCCAGACATTGGTGATAGCCAACAGTCTGGCTTTGCGATACTATAAACGCACATCGTCACACGTGTGACTTTGGGAAGTCAAGATCCTCAAAAGATGAAAAACTGACCTGCTTCTTGCAGAACTGGGCATAGCCTTGCTCTGCAAAAATAAATAATAATTAAGCCCTAATTGGTCTACTTGATGACCAAACCGACTTCCTGTGTTGCTTCAGAGCCCAACCCTTTAGATGCATGTAGGGCACTTTCTTATTCCAGACCTTATCATTGCATAGCACTCCATTCCTGACACACTCACAACAAATACACATTCTGCACTTCTCGTTTTATCTCTCTCATTCACACATACACCCAGCTTAATTGGACTTTTATAGCTTTTTATTTTTTCCCTGAAGTCAGGGTTTCTTGTAGCAAAACAGTTGTTATATAGTTTCATGACAGTCATTTTCAGGTCTCTGAGCCATTTTGTTATTGTATCATTAGGACTGGTATATTATAATATAAATATGTAAATAATATACAATATGTAAATTATCTCCCTTATGATTGGCTAACTTTTTCACATGATAAGAGTAAAAAGAGTACACAAAAACCCAGAACTATCCTAACAACTACCTTAGCAACACCCTGACAAGCCCTTATAGAAACCCTAGCATTTTGGCAGAGAAATCTCTTTATTTGATCATTTATAAAATCTCTCCGATTTCATCAAAAAAATCTTTGTTTTAAAGTTAGACATGAGGGTTAAGTAATTGATGAGAATTTTTTCATTTTTTCATGAACTAACACTTTAAGACGGCCATCTTAAAAATAAGTTTAAAAGTAGATAATTTTGAGACCCTTGCATTCGGTTGCACTACGTCTGGCTGTTTTTGAATGCACAAACCCATTCTGTGTGAGCGGCTCCTCACTCATTCTGTGCTTCTTGCTCTCGGTAAGTGCGGTTTGACGAGGCATGTTCCCTGCAGACTCGCAAGAACATGAAGGCTGTACTAAACATCTAGTTATTTTTAGTACTAAAAAATCAGATTTTTAGAGTGATATTTAGTATAATATTTAATTGGTGAGTATGTGTGTGTTTGTGTTTATTGCCATTATCAGTTACTGTAAGACATACTGCGTGACCTCTAGTTTCTGCACTCCAAGTCTCATTAAAGCCCTGCGGTGGAAAATTTTATTTTGTCTAATTTATTCTCTCTCCCTTTCTCCTTTTCTTTCTCTCTCCCTCCCACGTTTTTGTTTGTTATTGTGTGCTGCAGAGATGAAGCCGAGATGGAGTATTTAAAAATAGCTCAGGATCTGGAGATGTATGGGGTCAATTACTTTTCCATTAGGGTAAGAAATGCCTTCGCTGCTGTACGGTAGTAACAATCTGAGCTGATTTCCGACGGCTAAAGCCTTTACAGCCAAACACTTTTATTAGCGTATACCTTTGTTATTGTTTGTTATAAACCAACCTTTTATTATTGTTGACCTAACCACCTTTAACTTGCATCATCTCCCACTTTCTTTGGTGTCTACCCTGCTTGAAACTTTCAGGAGAATAATTATTTCTGCCTTTTTGTTTGAAATATTACTTTTGCTATCCGTTTAACTCTGAAAAGCTGTGGCGGTGAGATCATGATGGTAAAATAAATGTATGTCTTTTTAATATCTTCTCTTTAAGAATAAAAAGGGTACTAGCTTACTGCTGGGTGTTGACGCTTTGGGCCTCCACATTTATGACCCGGATAACAGACTGACGCCCAAAATTTCTTTTCCCTGGAATGAGATCAGAAACATCTCCTACAGCGACAAAGAGGTACTTATTTTATGAACAATTCATGCTTTAACCAACCTGCTCTATGCTAAGAGTGGTTTAATGCTGTTGGTGCACTCATTTCTGTAACTGTCTCTTCAGTTTGCCATTAAGCCCGTGGATAAGAGGGCAGATGTCTTCAAATTCAACTCCTCAAAACTCAAAGTCAATAAACTGGTGAGTATTTCATGATGTGAATGCAGAGATAAGTTGTTTGATCTTCACAAATCCACTGTGGTGTGGCATGGTGGTTAAAAGATCTCCGCTGGAAGGCAAAAGATTGAATGTTTAATACATTTATGTCATTAATCCTATGTTAGTTAAAGACAATGACCATATAAAACCATAAAAACATCATTAAATGGTCTTTACAACTTAGAACTGATAAGGCTTGAAGACTTGGAATATATGTGATGGCATTTGTAAAACATGGACTGAAATTTTATTTGTTAAAGAAAGTCATACAGGTTTGGAATGACAAATTTTACTTTTTTTAAAGGGTATACTAAGCTTTTAATAAGGCAATTTTTGTGTGTTTAAAGATTCTTCAGCTGTGCATCGGAAATCATGACCTCTTCATAAGGAGACGCAGAGTTGATTCGTTGGAAGTCCAGCAGATGAAGATGCAGGCTAGAGAAGAGAAAGCCCGCAAACAGGTCGGGGAAAAGTGAATGATTTCATGATTAGCAGCAACGCGTAGAGAATATTGTTTGTTTTTATGCTAAACAAATAAATAAAAGCAAGCTGTTTTCTGGGCTTTGATTTTTAATGAGTTTGAGTCTTAAAGGATAAAAAGAGAAAAGCAACATAAGAAAGTTAAAAGGAAAGAAAATTAAAAAAACAAATAGAGAATATATATAAAAAAAGATATAAAGTATAAAAGAGTAATACATTTACATTTACATTTATTCATTTAGCTGACGCTTTTATCCAAAGCGACTTACAATTGCTATATATGTCAGAGGTCGCACGCCTCTGGAGCAACTAGGGGTTAAGTGTCTTGCCCAGGGACACATTGGTGTCTCGCAGTGGATTCGAACCCGGGTCTCTCACACCAAAGGCATGTGTCTTAGCCACTGCACCATCCTTCCCCGAATAAAGATAAGAAGAGAGTACAAAAAGTTAATATGTACAACACTGACTAAATATTTCTTTCTCCAGCAATGTAGCTAGGTGCAGATGAAAAAGAATTTCACTATATTAAAGAAACCAGCATACATGTACATTTTTCATAGCCTTGATGGTGGCCTTTTTTTTACATTACTGCCATTCAAATATTTGGGGTTGGAAATAATTTATATTGTTTTTGTAAAGTCTCTTGCTCAACAAGGCTGCATTTATTTGATCAAAAGTACAGTAAAACAAGTAATATTGTGAAATATTATTACATTTTAAAATTACTCTTTTCTATTTGAATGTATTTTAAAATGTAATTTATTTCTGTTGCAAAGCTGAATTTTCAGCATCATTACTCCAGTCTTCAGTGTCACATGATCCTTCAGAAATCATTCTAATATGCTTCTTTGCTCAAGAAACATTTCGTATTATCAATTATGAAAACGGTTGTCTAATATTTTTGTGAAAACTGTGATGCATTTTCTTTCAGTATGGATATGAAGGTCCCGCAAAATTATATTCAAACTCACATTAGATGCTTTTAAGATTAAATAAGGCACATAAACAGTACCTGAGATTATCATGGGCATACTTTGAATGCTGTTGTTCCAGCCTGACGTCGCAAAAATAGATACCACTTCGAAAATAGAATAGTTGCAGTTGATAAAACTGAAGTGTAAAGGTCTATACTGTCACTTTTGATCAATTTATTTCATACTTGCTGAATAAAAGTAATTTATTCGACATTTCTTTAATTCTATTTTAGGGTTAGGGTTAAAATCATGGCTGAAACAAAAACAACATACAGTAGAAAATATGACAATGATAATCTCAGGTACTGATAATCTCAGATGTTGCACTTGGGGGCAACGTCTGTTTTTTTGAAAATGTGCTATATAAATAAAGTTGCATGCTTGCTTGCTTTATTTTAATGTTAAAAGTGTCTAATGCAAGTTTGAATATTGTCAAGTCAAGTCAAGTCACCTTTATTTATATAGCGCTTTTTACAATACAGATTGTATCAAAGCGCTTCACAGTGATAACATGAAAACAATATAACAAAAACAATATAACAATATAACAAAGTTTGTTTCTAAAAGAAATTGCGTCAACATCCACCTTAAGTAAGGCAGATCAATAATATTATTGAATATTAAATGTTAAATTTAACATTTGAGATATTGTGTGTGCTCTTTATAGCCATACTGAAAGCAACAATGGATAATTCACATTTATGAACTTGCAGAGAGAGCCCACCCACACGCTCTTCTGATTGGCTGTGATTTATGATGGATTTTTTCACGTCACATCTGGTGTGGACAGACAAATTGGTTGTCGGCAGAATCTTATTGTAACTTCTGGTTAGGGCACGGTGTAACTGACCCCAAAATTTTGAACGGCAGTGTATGAGTATAAATATTCTATAATCATCTTGCTTTAGAAAGCTTGGCAAGTGTCAGCAAAATCCCTCCCTCCCTCCCTCGCTAGGTAATCTTAAGACTTCATGGTCACCATGTGCATTGCACCTTCAGGCACCTTTAACCAGGTGCTGGATTTGTGATCCACTAGACCCATTTAGCAACGCTGCAATCCTGGTGAAATATGGATGAGCTTTTTGCACCTCTCTGTAGATGGAACGGCAGAGGCTGGAGAGAGAGAAACAATTGCGTGAGGAGGCAGAAAGAGCTCGTGATGAACTGGAGAGGAGACTGATTCAGTTACAGGACGAAGCTCACATGGCCAATGAAGCACTGGTGAGAAACTAAAACATCACCCACACTACATATACTTTCCCTAATCATTTCAGTGCTTGCTAGAGTACTTCGGTATCTATACTTGTACTATACCCACGTGCGTGAGCCTCCTACTGTTTTTTATTTTATTTTTTATAATGATGTTTTTAATAGTGAAGTTTTGGTTTAGTGAGTCACTTTTTCACCCAAACATTTGTTGCAGGTGTTTGTTCTGTCTTAGTAGTGACATATTTTGATTATCAATGATCAACCAATCATAATTAACCAAAGTATCATAAGTACTTAGTACATAAGTAAATAAGTACCAGTACGGCAACAACAACAATAATAATATTTATTATTAGTATTATTGTTAAATTTGTATTTTTATTATTTAAATAATGATTATTTTAAAATGCATAGCAAAATTCATATCAGTCAGTTACAAGTAATATCCTGAACAGAAGTCTGAACATTTACAGATTTTTACCTTTTTTGGCCACTTTAAAGTCTAAGCCCAATTTTCAATTTGCATTCACTTTAGTTTTTTGGGACCCATCCGGCCTAAATATTAGTACATTTCATTTATTATTGCATATAATAATATTTCTAAGGCTATATTTCTTTCTTTTCACATGGCATTTTAAGACTCAATGTTCAGTGCACATTCTCAGGGTTTTTTGACTCTTGCAAACAAAAGAAAGTCTTTGTTGCTTTTAAACTGATATCAGTGTGAGTAACACTGATATGTGCATTTCTCTTAATAGTTCACTATCCGTGCTCAGCATAACGCTTATTCAAATTATAGAGAGCTCAGAATAGCACAGGTCTTATTATTTTTAATCAGATGGTTTCATATCCTTAGCCAGTCCTGAGTTTTCTTTCTCTCGTCCTAAATTTTCTTTCTCTCTCGCTCTCTCAAATATTGATGAGTTTTTTTTCACTATCCTTGCCAAAAGTATATCTGTTTCGAGAGATATATTTAGGGAAGAAAAGACTAACCTAGTGACACGATTTCTGTGAAGCAAATGACGTAAATGTGTTAGACTGAGCTTTATGTAACAGTTTTTTGTGAGTTTTTCCACATAAATTGTGTGGAATTGTGTAAAACAGCCAAAGGTAAATTTATATAGATTAATTCAGATTGCTTTTTTAATAATAATGCTGTATTGGAGTAAAATGCTGAACTTTACCGTCTAATGCCGTTAATCAACAAGGGAATCGATTGAAGCAAAATGACCTATGTGCATCTGTGCAAAGTGTGCGGTCTCTCTGTTTTCAGTTATGTTCGGAGGAGACAGCTGATCTGTTGGCGGAGAAGGCACAAATCGCTGAGGAGGAGGCCAAGCTGTTGGCTCAGAAAGCCGCCGAGGCTGAACAGGAGATGCAGCGTATTAAGGTTAGTGAGCATTTACATCAACACATCAGCTGCACATAGAAGATCCTTTTGGACCATTGATGACTGATCATGCTCTGAATAATTCTCTATAAAGCTGACAGCTATTCGCTCTGAGGAGGAGAAGAGACTCATGGAACAGAAGATGCTAGAAGCTGAGATGCTTGCACTCAAGATGGCAGAAGAGTCCGAAATGAGGTAATATCACGCACATACATGTTCAGCATAAATATTTCTTAATTCTTTCATCAGATGACTGCTTTTCATGCTGTTATTTTAAATAACACGTATTAAGTGGTGTACCAATGGTTAATCGATAAAAGACCCTTTTAATTGTGTATATATTATTTATTATTTATTTTGCCTAAAGTGTGTTTATTCTTACACTAAAGTCTATTAAAAATTAGTGTGGATTAGAAGCATTGGCTAAAAGCAAGTTACACCTATAATCTATCATCGGCTGTTATATAGTCACTCAGAACTCAGAATGTGAACATGCGCTATCATAGACCACCCAGATCTTCCTCTCACAGCTGGATCTATGCTGATGGCCCTTCTCAAAGCCATCTACTGGGCCTTTACTTAGTATGTGGCACTCTGTCGGTGTGCATGCTGCGATAGCTGTTTTATTGGGTGCCTGTGAAAGTCTCAATTTTCTGCTGATCTGAGCATCCATTTGACAATTTCCAGCTGAATTTGTGCTTTGGAGATCCCAGTACTGTATCCACTTCAAAGGGTTCAAACCTTGAGTGAGTAACCCCATGTATTTATTCTCCGCAGGGCGAAGGAGGCCGACCAGCTGAAACAGGACCTGCAGGAGGCTAGAGAATCTGAGCGCAGAGCAAAAACCAAACTACTGGAGATCACCAGCAAATCGCCGTACTTGGTAATCACCCATTCCTTACCAAAACACTCCCCCACTGCTTTGGTAATCACCCATTCCTTACCAAAACACTCCCCCACTGCGTTCTCCAACATCTCCACCAATGACGTTACATCAACGCTTGTCATTCTTAATCAGCCTGGTGTCCGAAGCCAGTTCGATTTTATCTCGAAGAGAAAAAGGGTTTAAACTCTGCACAGTGTTTTACGCTAGTCTGATTTAGCCTCTTGGCCATTTGTCAATGTCAAGATAATTAGTTTAAATAAAAGTTGCGCCAGACAGCCATTCCATTACTTGCAGGGAAACTTTCCCCACTCATCCAGGGAAACATTCGAGAGTCTTTTAGCCTCGCAATAACCACCCTAATGCAATAAGAAATTACTATTTATATTCATATTAAGCTGTCCAACTTAAAAAAATGGTTAGCTAGCCATATAGGGTCCCGGGAATAGTGTGGCACGGTTGTAAGGCTTTTCAGAATTGGATTACAAATGGGTTCAAATGTCTGGCTATTTAAAGGGAAACTGAAAGCGAGAGACCGCAGTTAACTTGAATACCTCCATTAAATGCATTGTGAATATCCACCCGGTTCAAATACACATGATGACTGAGTGCACTTCATATCTGATTCAAATGCACGGCAAATGAGGGATTGTCCTAAGCCTTGAATGTAGAAATGGATATAATTGTATATAATTCGTTTTTTCTACATAAATGTTCCCAGAGAGGACGTTTTTCTACCTGGAAACTGGATTTCAGGGATATTACAATGAGTTTCCTAATTATTGGTCTAAGCACTTGGGAACTGAGCTCTTCTGCTCTTTCAAAGCTTTGCGGATACTCTTGCAAATCCCACGGCTCATTTCCGCACATTTTACATGCACACTGAGTTAAGGGGTGACTGGAGGTCAGCGTATCAGTTGAAACATTAGCTCTTTCTACGAGTGGCTAATGTTAGCTGTATCTGTTTGATTACTTAAAAATCCAGGAGGCATTTTAGAGCATTGCTGCTATCTCCGGGTCATGATGTCTTAACTGAGAATTTTGTAGTGTATTTTTCTTTTACCCTGAAGCGTCCTTTGGTCTTTTGACAAAATCCAACTATAGGTAACTAAGGCAAACCTGAGTTTGACTTTGCTTAGGTACGTCATCCTGCCTGAGGCAAGTAAAGGCAGTTTTTTGAAGCTCGTACTACAGTAGGTGCTTGATTTTCTAGTCGCCACACTGATCATTTAATTGACCAGTCAAAAAGCTGACCCTTATTTCAATATGAAACTACTCTTTCATATGCTGCAAGGCCTATATATATATAAAACAATATTATTTTCTTGTTGAATGTCCTGTTCCGCTTTTGGTATTAGTATTTGGCATTAGTATTTTAATACTGATATGTTTGGTACAGCACTCCTGCTTGTGTGATATTGATTAATTTTTATGTGTACATTTTGTTCTCAGCTCATTTGAATGTGTTTTTCTTTCTTCCTCTTTCACTCGTTCACTGCTTAGCCTGTGCCGTTGTCTGCAAATGCTCTTCCTCCTGATGGCACTAACTTCAACTTCAGCATGGAGAACCTGAGTTTTGACTTCAAAGACACTGACATGAAACGTCTGTCCATGGAGATCGAAAAGGAGAAGTGAGTGCAGCCCATTTCAGGCAGCAGTCCATCCTGATCACAGTCTTTCTGCTGGTGTCACATCTGCACACATCTTTTGAACCAGTTAGATCAACAGTACCGGAGTGTGTCCTCTCTGCTGATGCTAAACTGAGTAGTGGATTAGTTTTTATGTGATAAAATTCCATTCTTTGTTTAGACAATTCAACTAGAATGACCAATGACTTTCAGGTTGGCAGTCAATAATGAGGTGATTTATGAGAATATGGTGCTGTTATTCTTAAAAAATATTGATTGTCCGATTTATCATGATCTGAAAGATCGTCGTCTTAAAAATCTACGCCTGTTCTCAGTGGATGAAATACACTACTATTCAAAAGTTTGGGAGCAGTAAATTAATACTTTTATCCAGCAAGGATGCACAATAAAGACATTTACAATGTTACAAAAGATTTCTATCTAAATAAATGCTGTTATTTTGAGCTTTCTATTCATCAAAGAATCTTGAAAAACGTATCCGGTTTCCTCAAAATTGCCCCCAAATGCACGTCATCTCAGTACGATATTTCACTTGTGTGGAGTTTTTCATGCTTAAAATTGGGTGTTAATAGGCCTTAAAACAGATGAAAACCAGGAGATCAGCTTTGTTTCATTATATGTCTGTCCTCTTTGGCAGGGTCGAATATTTGGAGAAGAGCAAACACCTTCAGGAGCAGCTGAATGAACTGAAGACTGAGATTGAGTCATTAAAGCTAAAAGACCGAGAAACCCCTCTAGACATCCTACATAATGAGAATGCTGAGAAAGGCACCAGCAAGCAGAGCAACTTTAAAAAGGTTGGTTAAATGCATCCTTCACAAAGCCAGACATGGTGTGATACAAGGTTTGAGACCAGGGGTGTCTAATCCTGCTCCTGGAGGGCCAACCTCCTGCATATTTTAACTCCAACCAGCTCCAACACACTTGCCTGGAAGTTTCTAGTGAGTCTGAAGACCTTGATTAGCTGGTTTCAGGTGTTTAATGAGGGCTGGAGCTAAACTGCAGGACAGTGGCCCTCCAGGAGCAGGTTTGGACACCCCTGTTTGAGACAGTTAAAAATGAAAAAAAAAAGTAGATCTAATATAATAGTTGAGAGATGACAGGAAAGTAATGGGGAATAGTATAGAGAATTGTTGCAAGCTGAATTCGAACCTTCTTCGCCCACTTGAGAACAACAGTCGCTGGCTCCAAAGTCCCTGAGCTGTATTAAGACTCTCTAAGATATCTGTTATCTGCATGTATGGTAGAGTAGTGGTTATACATCAGTTCAGAAGTTAAGAAATTTCTTAAGATCATTTCTAAGAAGTTATTCTAAAGTGCATAGGTCAGATTACCGTAATAATCATACTAGGAGCGCACTCCATTTTTTTCCGCAACTGACTTGATTATTGACCGATTATTGTTTACATAATATAGTGTCACTTCAGAGTACTTGTGCACATCACTAGTAAAAGTAAAACGCATTATACTGAATGTAGCTAGTGTTTTGTTGTAATGCTTAGTATTTGAACCAACCCAATACATTTATTAAAGATCTTTCCTTTAGGGGATTTAAGATAAGTTTGAGGTTATCCTAACTTTTTTACCTACGAAATAAAAGGTAAAAATGTTTTTTAAGAGGTTAGTTACGATGATTTTAAGAACATTCTTATCAGGAATTACATTTATTCTTAAGTTTTGTTTTTAGAACATTTTTAAGTAAAAAGATAAGAACATTTTGAAGTGTTTTTGGGAATATAAAATACTCTTAGCTTTATTCTTAAGTTGGAAAATGAGATGAAATTTGCATTTAATACGAATTTTATTCTTTAGAATGTTTCATGAATTTGGTAACTGGTAACTGAAATGCATTCATTTCAAACTCTGGAAGAGAAACTGAACTGGAGAGTTATAGAGTTTGTCAGTTGATTTGCAGAAAAAGATGTCACTTAAAAATGAAATATGATTTCGTAAAATCATCATATAGCAGCACAGACACTTTGAAGTTTCTTCAGATTTTAATTCTTAAAAAAAGTTGTAGTCCAATGCTCAAATAACTTCAAGTTCAGCTTTTTACAACCTTACAGAAGTGCTTGTTGCAGCAAATAGCTCTATATTGTTTGAATTATTCCATATCCTAAATGTGAAACTTTGGAACTTGTGTTTGAGATGGGAATAATTTTGAAAATGGAAGTGCAGGTTCACTAAACTCTTCTGAAAAGCCTGTGTTGCAATACCATTTCCCAGAAGGGCTAGTTCCTATGAAATATGATCCTAATCATACTGTTAGTCACGCCACGAGCACCGATAATCCAAAATTAATTTATTCATCATCTTTCTGAAAGGTTCAGCTACATTTTCATCAAGTCTTATGAAACGGTAGATTAAAAGCTCCATTTTACCCATAGAATCCTTTCCTTCTGTGTGTGAAATTGTCTCGTTTGCACTACGCTAATTGATTCCCGTGTTGTGATCGGTTGTTTGGACGGATGGATTGCCCTCCGTGTGTTCAGTCATTCTGCCTTGATGTGATTGTCTAATTGAAGCGGAGCTTGAGCAAATCAAGCCGGACACTTGGGGGAACAGCTTTACAGCTCTCATGCTAACAGCAGCAAGAAAACCCAACTCGGTCTTACACCCTTTGACAGCTGTTGTTTTCTTAGCCCATGTTGAGCCCGCATTGGAAGCCTGTATCGGGACACTGTCCAACTCATTGTAAATCACTGTTGCTCAGGTAGTTTGAGCACTGGACCTTGGAGCAAGTGACAAGGGTCGCTGGCTTTCCAGGTCACGCTGGTGAAATGATTAATGGCCTTTCTCCATAGCCTGGTGTGTCCTGCTGCTAGCTATAGCCTGAGGGACAGAGATGTAGTGAGAGTATCTTAATGTACTGACAGTCTCACCTGTTCTCGGAATGTGTTGATGCGGTGATCCATCAAAATCCCCATTGAAGCGGTGGCACGTAAGTGTCCAAGCATACCTTTGTTAATTGTACTGGATTTTGGATCAGTTAACCTGTTAACCGTCACCAGTGCGTGGGCGCTCTGAAGCGTTTTTTTTTTTAAATAGTTCAAAGTTACTATCATATTTAATGTGATTAACTTGACAAACTATACATCATTAAAACGATATAAGACTCAAGTTTCAGTATTTGACCACTATTGTATTCTGTGAAACTTATAGTGACAGTTATGTCTTAATTTGTGTCAGGAGTTATGAAATAAAAAAATGAGTCGTTACCTTTAATATGAATTATGAGCGTCAGCTGCTCTCATTCAGAAAAAAAACTCCCGTGCGATCGTCATGACAGCGATTCACAAAACAACGTCCCTCAGGGCTTTTAGCTCAAACATGTGCAGATTTGGAGAAATATTGATAGATTCTCATAGGTTTACATCAGACTTCTATAGACAGGAATAATATTTATTGAATTTATACCCAAATGCGTCGATGTAATCATTTTGAGCGCTGTATACTCTGATTTACTGTGTTATCCATTCATACTGAAGTCTGGGGCGCTGTTGCACAGTAAAGTCCATATATGGATCACATGAAGAAGAGCCATAATCATGTGACATTCAGGAAGTCGTGATTCATAAACAAAGCTATCCGAGATCGCTGTAAAGTGCAGATAAAGATGTTTTGAAGACAATAAACATGATTGCAATGATATTTGATTTACCTGTGTTCTTCGAGTCATGTCAGGTATTTTCATAATAATAGATTATATGTATAATGTAATGCTAATCGAGATAGACTTTCAAATTGTGCAGAATACAATAAAATAATATATTTTCTATCTGATTTTTTTATCTGAAGCCAAATCAGATTACAGAAAGTTATTTAAAACACTCGACTTGCGCTATAAAGTAAGTTGGAGCACAAACATAGTTTTATTCTCATAAATTGTCGTGTATTGAGGGTGTGCTAAGCTAACATGCTAGCTAGTACTGAGCACCTGCTACCTAACTTCGATGTAATTTTATGATTTTTTTTCTAAATAAGAATGCTTACTGAATGTTTCGTTTTTCAAAAAGGGCATTTGATACAGTTTCACTGTGAAGTGAGAACTTTTATAAAATAAAAAGACACAAAAAAAAACATTGAACTAAATACAGAGTTTTAGACTTATCATCTTCAGATTTAAATTAACATGGTTAGACATGTGGCTTTAGCTGCAGTGCATTTCTAGAGTTGCTACAATGCCAACTTCAATTTTATTTTCATGAAGATGTTTCATAAAAATAAATGTATAATAACTTTACAAAACTTTGAAGCTATTTATAACTATTTTTTTTCATTATGACAATAATTAATTCTACATTTACAATAAACTACCAGGTGTCAGCTTTCAAATGAGATCTTACTTGTGCTTTTAGTACAAAGGTTCATGAACTGTATCTGTTTCAGTTTGGGAATGCCATATCTGGGGACTTTTTCAAAATGGCTTGAAGCTTAACAGGTTAAAAGTCAATTAACCTGCATTGATGTTGATCTACTTTTTTTCCTTGTAGGTTATTTTTTTTTTTAGTAAGCCATTGATTTTTACATGCTTACTTGTATGAAGGTTACAAAATTTCACGATCATTATTAATTTTGTTGCACAAATTACTACTTTTATTTATCAAAGATGCATTAAATTGATCAAAAGTGACAGTAAATGCATTTATAATGTACAAAAGATTTCTGTTTCAAATAAATGCTGTTCTTTTAAACTAGGAATTAGGAAAAAATTATCAGTTTCCACAAAAATATGAAATTGTTTTTAACATTGATAATAATAAGAAATTGTTTCTTGAGCATCAAATCAGCATGTTTAAATGATTTCTGAAGGATCATGTGACACTGAAGACTGGAGTAATTATGCTGAAAATTCAGCTTTGCCATTAGAAATAAATGAAATTAATAAAATATATACAAAATGTAAAGCCAATTGGCATCTGCAAAAATATATTAGAACTTTCTCAGAAAACTAGCTTCACTTTTCTGATCTGGCTGATATGTTAATCTCAAAGTCTTAGATTTAAACTTTTAAGCTCTATGAATTGAAGAGTTGGCCAGTTTCTCTAACAGTGAAGAAAAACAAAAAAAAAGAATAAAAATAGTGTCTCCTAAATATCAAATAAGAAATGTAATTCCTCAAAGTCATCACAGTGTTCATACTAACAGTAATTCAATTACTGGAGGGCCGCAAGTTTTTGTACTTTCGCTTTCCAGTAGACGTTCCTACTCGACTTCAGTATCCTGTCGTTGTCGGTGGCGGATATGAAGACATGAATTTTTGCACTTTTCTGAGGCATTTTGCAATTACTTCCAACCATCTGGTCTCAAGGTGATCTATAGTGGATGTTGAAGTCAGTTCTCCTCAAGTTCACACAGTTGTCCTAGCTGAGTAACCACAGACTTTGTCTTTATTTTTAGTGTATTTCTAGTGACATTTATATCTCAAGATGTCTGGAGCATGTGTGGAAACCACTGAGCAGATTAGGGTATTTCAGGGTGAAGTACTTGTGCCATATATTCTGCAAATAGTTCAATAATGAAGCAGAAATGTACCATCTTCATATAGCGTTAATTCATCATTTTCCCATTTCTGTATCTCTCTTCCGTCTCTTCTTGTTTGTTTACACCATGAGGGATTCTGTCTTGAAGTGTCCTTTAACATCACCGTCAGTGGACTCACACAGACTAGTGACAGCTGATCAGACACACACACACTTCTCTCTCTCTCTCTCTCTCTCTCTCTCTCTCTCTCTTTTCTCTCTCTCTCTCTCTCTCTCTCTCTCTCTCTTCTCTCTCTCTCCTCTCTCTCTCTCTCTCTCTCTCTTCTCTCTCTCTCTCTCTCTCTCTCTCTCTCTCTCTCTCTCTCTCTCACTCTCTCTCTCTCTCTCCTCTCTCTCTCTCCTCTCTCTCTCTCTCTCTCTCTCTCTCTCTCTCTCTCTCGCTATGAATTCTGCATGACTCCGAGGTATTGAACGTGTCATACATGTCTAATGTTTCTCATGGCATGAGCAAAATAATGAAAAAATGACGCCTGCCAAAGTTAAAACAAAAATTTATAGAATTTACAGCATAATTTAACATGGTATAATGCACAAACCTTTTATATATATATATAATATATATATATATATATATATATACACACACACACACACACCACACACATTAATTATCAGTTCATGCTTCTTAAAAACTATCCTTTGTTAATGTTTTAAATTTAATAATACATTTATTTATAAATATACTGTTTTTGTTTTTAATCCATGTTTGTTACGGAAGCTTGTTTTTTGCCAAAATATAAAATGGGTAATTGTGACTTTTTATCTTTTTGCCCCACAAGTGCAAGTTTACATCTCACAATTCGGACTTTATAACTCGCAATTGTGAGTTTATATCTCAAATTCTGAGAAAAAAAAGGTGGATTTGCTAGTTATAAACTGTCTAAATTGTGAGATAAAGTCACAATTATTATTTTTAATTGCGTGTTTAAATCTCACAATAGGCTTTTTCTTGCAATTCCAAGTTTATATCTCTCAACTCAAATTACCTGTATTATTTTTTATCCTTGATGGAAATAAGCTTCCATAGTTTGTTCATAATACATTATAATACACCATGCACATATATTAGTATATGGAAATGCTGTAAAAGTATTGTTCATTGTTTTTCATGCTCTCTGCCTGTTGCATTAACTGAGGATATTGAACATTTATTATTATAAAGTGTCACTGACTAATTTTAGCAAATAAAAAATGTGACTTTAATCTTCTGCAGTAGTTGTGAGATTTATCAAGCTATTTTAATATATTGGCAACCCTAACTAAAACACAAAATAGAAATATTCTATATGCTGATTTAGTGCTGCTGATTATTATCTTTTATTATTATTAATGTTTAAAACAGTTGTGCTGCTTAATATTTTTGTGGAAACTGATGCATTTCTTGTGAGGATTCTTGATGAATAGAATGTTCAAAAGGACAAACATTTATTTGAAATTGAAAAATGTTGTAACATTGCAAATGTCTCTGATCAATTTATTGCAGAATAAAAGTATTAATAAAAAAACGAAAAAACTTACTGACCCCAAATTTTTAAAAGTAATGTGTGTATTTTATATACATCTATCTTTTTTTTTTATCTTACTTGTCACTTCATAAGAAATGAAGGGCATCAGTTTGGAACTTAGCAGCACAATTCATTACACCTCTCAATCTTCTTCAATCTTTCTCCACAGCTCACTCTCCAGAGCACCAAATCCAGAGTGCCTTCTTCCAGGAGCTATAGCCATCCAGCCGGACTGGACTATAGTGTCTGAATAATGTGCCGTTGTGTCGTTGTCACATTCCTATATGATCCTAGCACATTCCGGTGATGAAGAATGTATATGTGGGTAAAGTTTACATGCATTACTCTAAGAGGACCAGGACCTCAATTAAACAGAACTACAGAGGGAGAACATGTTTTTAAAGGGACACACACACTAAGATAAACTCATTCACACACAGAGTCACACACTACACATCGTTTCCCAATATCCCTGTCTGCAGGAGGTCAAAAACCCATTGTAAAGACACTACGAATAGCAGTGTACACTCACTGACTACATATATCTCTGCAGTGCATCGTAAATTCCTCTCTCCAGTTGCACAGCAGATATCTCTTTCGATCAATATGTGTCAGAATAATTGGCTAAAGCAGTGGTATTGCACCCTTGTGCCGTGTTAGGTGTATATATTTTTGCTCTACTATGGAGCAGTCTGGTCATTCATAAAGGCTGAATGAAACCTTATTGTGTTACAGTTTAGAAGTGTTTACTTTCTCTCAGAGGATAGGTTAGTACAGGATATTTTTAGGGGAGAAAATGCATTTGTGAGAACACCATGTGGAAAACCATTTTTACATATGAAATATTTGGGATTTTTTAAAAACCATTTACTTGGCTTGAAATGTTTTACAATGTTTTTTTTTTTAAATGAATATATTTTTGAAAATGTTTTCGTGCAGATAAATAAATGAATAGAAATTATCTTAAATATTCTTTGGCTGTTCTTTTTAAAACTTTTTTTGATGAAACACTTTGCTTTGCACATCCCCCAAGCACTAAGTTTTACACTTTAGTGTGCAACTTGACCCACACCGATTGTGTCACAGGCATGATTGAAATCATGCGCCTATTATTTTTCAGTGATCAGATGTACAATTTTCACCTGGTGGGCAGTAAAACGGGCACACAAAAAAAATACCCTGCATTTTGTCCATTAGCATGCCTCATAGAGCTTACATCTACTGCCCACTTTATCTGCAGTCTTGGTTCCTTAATATTTTTACCCATTCATATTCCTCATAGGAATTATAAAAGTATATATTAAATATTATTATAAATATATTTTTTAAATGAAGCAAAAAATAAAAAAAAGTGTACATATATTATTTTCTTGATGAAATGAATGGCACAGCCCATAAAGCATTGTGAATGACCTAACTGAGTAAAAACAGTGGTTTATTTCAAAGCAACTTATGAATTATAATATGGGAAAATCTCACAGTAAAACGGTGCAAAATATGGTACACCAGTGTTTTGCCAGATGAGAAGTTTATTTATGTATAATCTCATTACTCTTTTAATTATTAAAAAAAAAAAAACACTGTCCGACTGATTGCACTGTATTCCTTCTTTTGATTCTAAACCGAACTCAAATGGCACTGAGAATTGGGTAAGAGACAAACATAAATGACTTAATTGGGGAACTTGAGAGATGAAACCCTGCAGGTGACCTGGGTCTGTGGTGGATAGTGAGTTTGATGTGTGATTAAACTCGAGGTTCTGTGGGGTGCCTCCATTGCTTCCGAACAAATGGGTTTTTGGGGTGCGGACTGATGGGGTAGTGAACCCGAGGTTACCCCGTGAGTCAGTCCTAGGGCTCCTCCTGTCCGATTTTAGGGAAAAAATCAGGTCCATTGGAGACGTCCAATAGATTTCTTAGGCGAAAGAACACCACAGACACCGTTTAATCACCATGGGAAAATGTGCTATAAATAAACTTGCCTTGCCTTATAATATGAATATGTAGACTTCAGAATTTCAGCTATTCAGCCGTTTTAAAAATGAAATTGAGATCCGAAGTGGCTTCAAGAGATGCATATATCATCACTTAACTCCAGAGTGCATGGCAGGTCATTCTTGAAGGGTTTATAAGTGATTATTAAAAATCAATTTCTCAATGGAGAACGTGCCTGAGATTTTTAGAACCCGACTATTACGCTCCATTGTGTTTTGCGATGTTTTGTGTTTATGTGTGTATGTTTGAAAGGACAGCGATGTATTGAGAACAGCAACAGGCAGTCTGTTGGGATTTCGTCTTCCTGGAGAATGTTACACAAGGTAAATCAATATAATCAGCCTAAAATTAACAATTTGTATTTGTTACATGAAAACTGCAACCGTCTCATTTATAGCATGAAGGTAGACTGTGAATTAGAATTCAGTATCACGATTATTGTAATAGCTCATTAAACTCAAAGCACTTTGTAATATTTGTTACCAATCAAGACGGTAAACACAATTTTGCTTCATGTATCACACTTCCCATAATCCTGGTTATCATTATCACAGCCTGAGACAAATACGACCCAGCATCACTCCTTCCTCAACACATCGTCTGCATGTCTGGACAGATGACAGCTTTGATTGATGGCTGGTTCCAGGCATATTGACAGGCTGTCACAATCAGAGGGATGTGCCTTAGGAGGTGACCATGTCACTAAGCGTCCCATCAGTCCTTGGGGTGGCAGATGGAGGCCTTGGGAGATAATACTGCATCTGTAGGTGGTACCAAGGTGAACAGAAGAATAGCTTTACTGAAGGTGAGAAAATCAGAGGCAGTGATAATCAATGTCAACTTTTTGCCTTGGGAATTTATTATAGTTTGATTGCAGCTTACTTGGATTACACAGTTCGCGTGCAATTTGATTGCCCAGGCTGTTCTCTGAGGGCAAGCTTTGTTTCTGATCTCTGGAAACCTTGGATTTAATGTCTTTTTTTAATATATTAAAATGCTTTCTCCTATTGCAGTTTTACATGCAGAGACATTAATAAGCCAGTCGTAGGTTGCCAACACTCCACCTGAACTGCAGAGGAAAGCACCCAGTCTGATATCACGTACTCTCTTGAGTAGGTACTTATTTTGAATAAGTAATTTGCGACTGCTAAAAAGGATGTTCTATAATATCAATATGTATAATATGAATGTAATCATTCGGACCTACTACAATCGCCATGTTGTCTATATCATGTGACTTACTAGAGTCTGTTGCGTCGCTTCACTGTCATTTACATTCTCCTGTGGCCTCATGGGATAGTTAAGTGTCCATCGTATCAGAGAATGTCTAATATGGGGAGAACTCCCACTCACATTAAACTTCCGGGGTCTGAACTGGTTGCAGTTCCACTCTAGGTCCATATGAGGGCGCTCACAGGCGGAGTGCAGAATGAATGGAGGTCTATGGAGCAATACCCCTAAAAATCCACTTTTCTCAGGATATAATTTGTCTAGTAATTTGAATGTTGTATTCGAAAGAAGATGCAACAAAATTACACATTACTGGGTGTTAGCTTTTTTAGAGTCACTTATTTGCTTTAAAAAGTCTTTTAAAATGTCAATGACGTCATACACATCGTACGACCAGAAACTTGCTTTACCGCAATCCTTCATTCACTTGTGCTTTTGCGCATGGGACTCATAAATTTTGGGGCATCTCGCCCAGGGGGCGGGGTTACTATGGCCTTAACATTGGTCCCGCTTCGGATGCCACGATGCCATCAAGCGGTGTCTCTGGTCGTAATCAGTCCTTCACTGACCAATCAGCGTCCATTAGCAAAATGCTAGCGTGTTATGGCCAACAACAACTCAACCTGTAAGAAATCGAAAGGACATAAGCACTCGTTCATTTAAATTTTGACCTATAACCCATGTTGAACTTGCAGAACCTACATTCAAATCTGAGATTTCCAATGACAATCGGGTAAAAGAGACAAATTTAGCCGTCTAGCCCCATTGACTCCCATTCATTTTGCACTCGGACGATCGCCCCCAGTGGAACTCTGGTGGAACTACAACCAAAATTCGGTACAATAGGACTTAATAGGGAGTGGCCAGGCTTTCCGTTGACAGGCTTTGATCGTATGCACACTTCAGAATCTCGCCGGAAGTAGTTGGTCATTTTTGCCTACTCTTTTATGAGTACTGTGAATTCAGACGTACTACTTTTGTCTCATACAGTTTTTTCGCCTACTATACAGGTCCTTCTCATAAAATTAGCATATTGTGATAAAGTTCATTATTTTCCATAATGTAATGATAAAAATTAAACTTTCATATATTTTAGATTTATTGCACACCAACTGAAATATTTCAGTTTTTTTATTGTTTTAATACTGATGATTTTGGCATACAGCTCATGAAAACCCAAAATTCCTGTCTCAAATAATTAGCATATCATGAAAAGGGTCTCTTAACGAGCTATTAACTTAATCATCTGAATCAACTAATTAACTCTAAACACCTGCAAAAGATTCCTGAGGCTTTTAAAATCTCCCAGCCTGTTTCATTACTCAAAACCTGCAATCATGGGTAAGACTGCCGACCTTACTGCTGTCCAGAAGGCCATCATTGACACCCTCAAGCAAGAGGGTAAGAAAGAAAGAAATTTCTGAACAAATAGGCTGTTCCCAGAGTGCTGTATCAAGGCACCTCAGTGGGAAGTCTGTGGGAAGGAAAAAGTGTGGCAAAAAACGCTGCACAACGAGAAGAGGTGACCTGACCCTGAGGAAGATTGTGGAGAAGGACCGATTCCAGACCCTGGGGGACCTGCGGAAGCAGTGGACTGAGTCTGGAGTAGAAACATCCAGAGCCACCGTGCACAGCCGTGTGCAGGAAATGGGCTACAGGTGCCGCATTCCCCAGGTCAAGCCACTTTTGAACCAGAAACAGCGGCAGAAGCGCCTGACCTGGGCTACAGAGAAGCAGCACTGGACTGTTGCTCAGTTTTGCATGTCATTCGGAAATCAAGGTGCCAGAGTCTGGAGGAAGACTGGGGAGAAGGAATTGGCCAAATGCCTGAAGTCCAGTGTCAAGTACCCACAGTCAGTGATGGTCTGGGGTGCCATGTCAGCTGCTGGTGTTGGTGCACTGTGTTTTATCAAGGGCAGGGTCAATGCAGCTAGCTATGAGGAGATTTTGGAGCACTTCATGCTTCCATCTGCTGAAAAGCTTTATGGAGATGAAGATTTCATTTTTCAGCACGACCTGGCACCTGCTCACAGTGCCAAAACCACTGGTAAATGGTTTACTGACCATGGTATTACTGTGCTCAATTGGCCTGCCAACTCTCCTGACCTGAACCCCATAGAGAATCTGTGGGATATTGTGAAGAGAAAGTTGAGAGACGCAAGACCCAACACTCTGGATGAGCTTAAGGCCGCTATTGAAGCATCCTGGGCCTCCATAACACCTCAGCAGTGCCACAGGCTGATTGCCTCCATGCCACGCCGCATTGAAGCAGTCATTTCTGCAAAAGGATTCCCGACCAAGTATTGACTATTGAGTGCATAACTGAACATAATATGCTAATTTTTTGAGACAGGAATTTTGGGTTTTCATGAGCTACTATGCCGAAATCATCAGTATTAAAACAATAAAATACCTGAAATATTGGTGTGCAATGAATCTAAAATATATGAAAGTTTAATTTTTATCATTACATTATGAAAATAATGAACTTTATCACAATATGCTAATTTTTTGAGAAGGACCTGTAGGGAAGTACGTGATTTCAGATGCAGCCGGTATCTTCAGACCTCCACGCACATCCGTTATTATACTTTCCACCTTTATCTTCTTTTGTTTAATTGGCATTTTCTATCTTCTTTGACTAGTTCTTAAAGGGTTAACGTTAGTTCACCCAAA